GTGAGTGATTAGACATTGAACATCCTTCTTTCCACATATAATTGCATTACAGCGCATTGAAATACAAGGCCACGCGTATTTGATATCTGTATGTAATTAGTTATATCAAATCGTTAACACCGGATCGATAAAATAATTGTCATAGATCTGTGCGGTTCATGTGTGTCCCAAATTTATAGTTTAGTAACTGACGGGGGCGGTGGGGTAGCCTAGTTGTTAAAGCGTTGGCTCGTCACCACGAAGACCCGGGTTCAATTCCCCACATGGGTACAATATGTGAAGCCCATTTCTGGTGTCCCCCGCCGTGACATTGCTGGAATATTGCTAAAAGCGGCGTAAAACCATACTTACTTACTCACTCACTCACTAATTACTGACAGCGTGCCTTCAATAATCCTGTAGTATTATATCAAAAGCCATACGCGGTCTGGTGAAAATTGATAGTTGTTTTTATTTTCTGATAAAGGCCAGCAGCCTTCATCATTGTATGGGAATCGAACGCGAGTCTTTGGTGTGACGTCTCTTTTATTCGAGTGACGAGGGAGAGTGGTTTTATGCTGCCTTTAGCAATATTCCAGCAATATCACTGTAGGGGACACACGAAATGGGCTTCACACATTGTATCCATTAGGGGAATCGAACCCAAGTCGTCCCTCTAACCACTGGGCTACCCAACCGCTCCTCTTGTATTCGAACCCACGGATTCTAGTACGGGAGTGCGTGGAACAAGTCTCTTGTGGATTTAAGAGAAACGTCCTTTGTATCAAAACGGGAATCGAAGAGTGGTAAGCGGATCGTCAGCATTTTGGCTGCCAAGGCAACTAAAGGTGAAACTATCTCCAGTAATCAGTGTGAGTAGGGTTTTACGCCGCTTTAAGCAATATTCCAATATCACGGCGGTGAACACCAAAAATAGGCTTCAGGCGCTTTGAATTGAATCTACATTTCAGACTGACACTGACTGTGTCCTAAGTTGTCAGCACCTTAAACGTTAACGTTAGTTTCATGAAGCTAACACGCTGTGAGTGAGTAGGGTTTTACGCCGCTTTTAGCAATAATCCAGCAAAACCATGGCTTGGGACGCCAGAAATTGGCATAACCATATGGGGAATCGAACCCGGAACTTTGCGGTGATTAGCGCACCAAGCCATCCATTCGCCCAATATCCAATAGAATTTCTTTAGTTGGGGGGTTGGGGGTGGGGTGGGGGCTTGTGGTTAAAGCGTTAGCACGTCACGCCGGAGGCAGGGTTCGATTCGTCACATGGGTACGATGTCTTGGGTCCTCGGGCATGGTTGTGCTGGATTATTGCTAAAAGCAAAGTAAAACCCAACCACTGCCCTCTTCACTCACTCCTCTAATCTAGTTGGAAGCTTTTCATATCGGCGGCGACCAAGTTCGATCTCTCATTCATACTCTTTGCAATACATATCCATGAACACACCTAAGGGGCCCATTGGTCAGGGGAGTTCAGCTTGGTCCTCATGCGCTGACCACGTACTGTCCATAAACTGCTTTGGGCTCTGTACTTTTGAATGAACGGCTGAACCTTCATCGACCAAACATCGTCAGTTCAAACAATACACCATATACATGTACTTCATACAGGATGCGGTGTGTTCAATAAACAATAGTTCCTCCAATAGGTATTCGTTTAATTCATCAGTGAATCGTCATGGGAGTGATAGCTACCTGGTCTGTGACGCTCGCTAATAATTGCTACGGTGCGTGTGTTCCGACAGTATTTCATAAGTAGTAGTAGTAGCCTTAGCAACCTGTCAACAATGGATCCGGGGATCGCGTGTCTCCAGAGTCCCCAAAACACATTACAGTCCTACTTATCAATCCCATGATTATTTCTGACAGCTTCAACAGGCACCAAACACCCGTCCGTGTATCTGCCATGGAGTTATCACGATCAATGCCGACAAATTCCGAACGGGCTTCGGGTGAATTCGGGTAGTGATGCGTGAAGTGTGGTCAAACAATCGCTTTAGGGGACGTAATGCTCTGACAGTGTCGGGGGACGCATGTTAATAAACGTTTATCGGATTTAATTGATTTTTCTAAAATCTGTTGACTTGTTCAGTAATGACACTAGTGCATTGCTTGATGGGTGCTTAGCGGATCGATACGACACTACCGGAACAACTGCCTCTTTGGTGTAATCTCAGACAGCCGAGCACGGCCGTCATTGGGAGGAGAGATTTCATTGTCAACAGCTTAACGAATACACGGAACAATCACGAGACGGGCCCGTCAAGATATTAATATATCTAAGAGAATCTTACGGAACCTTTTGTCAACCAGAAGTAGAAATTAATCTTTGTAATATTTATAATTTAAATATATCAACACAATTCGTGAAAAGAAAAAAATCTCACGGAGCATCGCTTGATCGAACTGATGGGTCTCAGGTGAATCTTCTTACAACAATCGGATTAACCTAAGCAGAGATTGTTCTACGGACATAAACTGTAAAGTGACGCTCTTGCTACTTTGGTTCCTGCTGTGTCTCTGCTCAAAGGACAGCAACCCTGTGTATGATGCATGAGTGGTTTATTGACGTCACGTCAATCGTTGTGGCATCAAGAAGCAATGAAGTCTATCAACACACAGTCCCTAGAGAAGCTGCAAGGTTTTGCTATTCCCAGAAGGCGTGATTCAGATGCATGTTTCATCTGATACTTTGCCATGTCTAGGTTAAAAGACGTTTGTTCTGGAATTATGTGCATGGAGGAAAGTCTTAGAATGAAAGAAGCAGGTGATTCGGCGTTTTAAAGAAGGATGTTCCGTGAACTCAGCGACGAGTTTTAATTTGCTGGCCATTAAATGTGTGTGGAATTGAAAATCCTCGTATCAAGTGTTCGTAGCAGTTAGTGAAAATACGATCACACTGACAAGAATCAAATCCAAAAAATACACCGTACGACCAGGACATGCAGAGACAAGGTGTGAAAGTGTCAGTTTTGATGAGTGTCAAAGATCAGGGATACCGGGAGATTCCTAAACACAGAACATAGTTGCGTTTTCGATTTGATGGACATTGCTGTATGGCGCATTTGTTTTAACGGATAAGTCGTTGTAACAAACACTACTGTGTGGTAATGGACACTTATTGTGAGTGTTAGACACGTATTGTGAGTGTTAGACACGTATTGTGAGTGTTAAACAACTGGGGTACATACTGTGAACTATACGTGTCAACCAGGAGATACACACGTTAACGCAGTCACGTCGTGTAAAGCTAGATCGGTCACGTACTGTGCGCCACAGTAATTAGAAGTTAGATCGGTCACGTACTGTGTCGTAGAATACAGACCGATCACTACCGTGTGTGGTATAATGTATACCGTGTGTTGATACAGTTAAACTGGTTACTACAGTGTGTCGGACTGTGTTCAAACGGTTCTGTGTATTATAGGTGATAAAGTGGGCACACTCTGTGCGTTATAGGTGAATAGTTGATGACGTAGAGTGCTTGATAAACGAACATCGAACTTTAGTGTGAGTTCCACAAGCATAATGAATCTATAAATGGTATTGTATAAACTGCACGAAATGAACATTAGATTTTAAAGTATATCCTACTCTATTCATGTCACACTATGCGTACATGCTGTTTGTCAGAGCAGACACGCACGCATGTGCGTAATGGATGCATGTTATTCAGAGTCCGTGCGATTTTAGATTTATGTCAGTAACGTAATGAAAGCAATACAGTCAGTTTACGATCACGTAATTTATCCAGGTTGAGGTAATGCCATATTGAGGTTGTACAGACCTCGTTATACCGAGACTTGAGCGGATGCGTATGCAGAATTACTTTTAATATCAATCATGATGATCAGCAGAGTGCCATGAGACGCCATGCCGTTGCAAAATCACGAACTCAAGCGTAGTGTCTCAATTGGCTTGGAGTGATGCAGTCATTTTGCAAACAGTAGGCAATCAGTCGCACAGCTATTAATGCTTCTTACAGCATTTGAGAATGTACTGCAAGCGCCGGAATGACGACAAAGAACGATGGAGAAGAATAGTCTGCAAGTGCCGCAATATGCGGCAGACAACTTTAAGTGTTGAAGAAGAATAGTCTGCAAGTGGCGGAATATGCGGTAGACAACGTTGAGTGTTGGAGAAGAATTGTCTGCAAGTGCCGGAATATGCGGTAGACAACGTTGAGTGTTGGAGAAGAATTGTCTGCAAGTGCCGGAATATGCGGTAGACAGATTTAAGGGTTGGAGAAGAATTGTCTGCAAGTTCCGGAATATGCGGTAAACAGCGTTGAGTATTGGAGAAGAATTGTCTGCAAGTTCCGGAATATGCCATAGACAACGTTGAGAATACGTTACAAGTGCCAGAATAAACGGTATTGGAAGTATGGGTTGAAAGTGTGGGAATATGTGCTAACCCAAAAGGATGTGTTGCAATATCCGGAATATGCGTTTAACCAACTTTAGAAGGATATTTTCACAGTGCTAAACAGACATGAGACGTCACGTTGCGAGTTCCGAAATATGCGTTAAACGGTCTTGAAAAGGATACGTTGCAAGTACGAAATAACGAACAAGAGAATACCCTCGGAAAACTTTCCAGGTGTAGCAGAAACAAGTCTCCTCTAACACAAAGGGTACCTGTGAAACCATAATCATAACAAGGAACCCACCTTGATGCTGTAAGGCTAATCACGACTTGTCACTTGACGAGACGTCACGCAAAGCAGTACCAGTTTCTATGCGACTATATACGGGATGCATTATACAGCACAGTGACGTTGGAGCGTGGAGACAGCCTGACATAGGCTAACGCTTAGTCTCTGAATATATATAATTTGACAGTAACAAATAAACCCATTTAAATTGAGAAGGAGCCCCAGTGAGTTGGGACCTAAGGACATCTAGACTTGCTTCATTTAGGGCCTTGGCATTGCAGGGAGGGATAGGCAGTAGGGAAAATAATGTAGTTCAGGGACTGTGAGACAGACTACGCCTGACATTGTAGGTATTGAGAGAGGGGAGCTGAATCGCTAGATTGTGTGTCCCTCGAGGCACAGTGCGCAGAGTTTAAGAGCAAAGCAGTCAGTGGCCTATAAAACCCCAATCCATTCACGTCGAGACTGAGGGGTGAAATCTGACACCTCCAGCTTTCGTTCCAGTTCTAGTGCCTCGTGGTAATTCCACCCCAAAAAACCCCGATTTTCACACAACATTTACTCGTCTAAAAATATGCTGTAAAATATTACCCTGTGTCTCAGTGCATCATACTATACCGTTCCCCCGACGCCAAAAATAACCCCCCACTGATAACGGTGTGTAAGACGAGCAAGAACTTACACAACTGGAAACACGGGTTCTCATTGGGATGGCGCACGTACTGAGCCGTACAGAGGGCTTAATGCTCTAGCCTAGATTCATCAGACAGAATCGCGGATGAAGTCGAGGATGGCTGTTCCCGGTGATATGTTGCTCCTAACGATGGCGGCTGTCGGTGTCTACGTGTTGCCCGTTGGGGCAGGGGAGGTTTATACGTCGGTGGCCAAGTTGAAGTTGTTGCCACATATAGAGAAGAAACTGATTGATGCGTGCGACAGATACATTACCAGTCGGCCCGATGACCCAGGGTTATCCAGCATCAAAAGGTAAGGACGTCGTGTCAAGTGACATCATGCTGTCTGTACACATCTGGCATGTGCACATATACTAAAACCTGGTTAATCTGGACAATCTTTAAACTGAAACTTCCAGTCTATGACACGTCTGTTTAAGTTCTCTAATGTTTCATATTCCATATCCATCTGTAAGGAAAGCCATTTATCTGGGCGAGGTTAAAGAACTTGGCCGGTAAGACGAAACATATATCTATCAACAGTTGAAATCCCTTCCGTTTAATTTCGACTTTCCATTTTAAAGAGACGATTACCGGTGTTGAGGAGCATGTAAATTCAAATTCAAAGTATGTATATATATGATACAGGATATGTACATGGATCAACGGGGAACCTTGTTTGGTTTCATTAATGTTGAACGTGAAAGACTATACAAATGACTGAATCACTGGACACTGGACACTGGTGACTGGTCAGTTGTAAATGATGCAGGGATGGTGTTGTTTGAATGCTGTACTGGTTGTTCTCTTTACAAAGAACACTGTTGAATAAGGACCCCTTGTCCTCTGCATAAATTACCAAATATGCAAAACTTTCAGGGGTGGCCCCAGGATATCTACCTTATTTCTACCTTCAGACTGGGGCATGGGTACAATGTGTGAAGCCCATTTCTGGTGTCCCCTGCCGTGATATTGCTGGAATATTGCTAAAAGCGGCGTAAAACCATACTCACTCAGTCAGATTGCGGCGGGGGTGGGAGAAACTCATCCCACACGTCTACACCGACCATCACAAATACGATTAGTAAACTATAATTAATTGTTGGTAACAACGAAATCAATATACTAATAATTGTATCATTCCAGACCCAGACCCACCCCCGCCCATACACACGCACCTTAAGAGATCTTGTTTGATTTAGAATGGCCATTTGTAACTATTATAACACTGCAGGTGACACTTCCATGCGAGCGTGTGTGCGTGCGTGCGTGCGTGCGTGTGTGTGAGTGCGTGCGTGTGTGTGTGTGTGTGTGTGTGTGTGTGTAGTCAAGTGTACTCTCTAGTACCACTTTCTTCAGAAGTAGCATAGTAGGATAGGCAGTAGTCTATCCGGCATGTGATGCATACTGGTACATTTACACATAATCCTGTCGAATTAAGGGTGTGTAGGTCATCTGTCAAGGGCTGGGTGCGGATTTATTAACAGATAATCATGCTGATGTAAGTGAACGCGTTTATTAACGGGGTGTGCGAGTTTATTAAGAGATAATCATGTCGAATTAAGGATATGTAGGTAATCTATTAGGACTGTGTGCAGATTTGTCATCAGATAATCATGTCGAATTAAGGATATGTGGGTAATCCATTAAGGGCTGTGTGCGGATATATTTACAGATAATCATGTCAAATTAACGGTATGTAGGTAATCTATCTATCCAGGGCTCTGTACGGATTGATTAACGGGAAATCATAATGAATTAAGTGGATGTGAGTAATCTATTAGCACTGTGTGCGGGTATATTTACATATAACCTTGTTGTATTAATTCTATGTGAGTAATCTATCAAGGGCGTTAACAGATAATCATGTTGATGTACGTGAACGCGTTTCTGTTTGCCGGGGCAACAGATGAGTATAATAATAAATAATAATGTGTCCATTTATATAGCGCCAAACTCTACACAAGGTATGCTCATAGCGCTAACAATCAAGGCACAGCACATTATTACCCCGGATAACCCAAGCTGCCTGTTAGGCGCTAGGAGGTTAAAGTCATATGACTTTTTCCACCGGGTACCCATTTTCCTGCTGGGTGAACAGATACAATTTTGAACAAACTCACTTGCCTAAGGTGAGACCACATGTCACATGTGCTTCGTTGTGGGGCAGGACTCAAGTCCTAGAAACTCTCAGGAGTCAAGCTGCCAAACACAGTCACCCATCCAAGGACTCTCCGAGCTCGACGCTGCTTAACTTCACCGATTTGTGACCTGAGCTTTGAGCACAGGACCACGCGCCACAGTACTATTCATGTAGAGTGCGTCACTATCGCCTTCACTGGATACACAAGTGAGGCAGTCCTCGATTTTGTCCCAATGCTATAGATATAAACCTTTAATGATTTAATGATTTAATGATGCCATATCACAACACAGCCAGGTATTCCACCCATACTTACCTGAGCGGAACTATTGCTCGTTAATGATTATCAAATATTTATTCCCTGACGGGTATTGTCATCATTATTGATCATACTTATTATCAATCTGATTGATGGGTACGATGTTTATCATACTGCTATTGTCGCGAGTGAGTGAGTGAGTGTGGTTTTACGCCGCTTTAGCAATATTTCAGCAATATCACCGCGGGGGACACCAGAAATGGGCTTCACACATTGTACCCTTCTGTGTTGAGAGAGTGGGTATTACTATGTCTCGTGATGTCTTTTGATGAAGTCGCTTATGTTTAATTATAGAATATTAATATCGATTCAAAATTGTATTTCTAACGCAATTTAGCGCTGTGGGTGGCGTGAAACTGATCTTCTGGTGTCCTTGGCTCTGAAAAATCTGCGAATTTCTATCTTGCAAAGCGATAGCTGCTGGGAATTTGGCGGCCATCTTGAAATTTTATCTGTTTCAGTTTTTCGATTTAGTCTACATTTATTATATTATGAATAGAAATGTGGGGCCTTATGTGTGTCTCAACAATCCCATTATATTATTATACTGAATGTTCAGTTATCTGTGGGCAGTGCCGGGGAGTTGGTAGGATGCACTGACGTATGTTGAACGGCCCGTTACTCTGATACGGTGTATTAGGGGCGGTGGGGTAGCCTAAGGGCTAAAGTGTCCGCTCGTCACGCGGAAAACCCGGGTTCAATTCCCCACATGGGTACAATGTGTGAAGCCCATTTCAGGTGTCCCCGCGACGATATTGCTGGAATAATGCTAAAAGCTGCGTCAAACCCAACTCACTCACTCACTAATATGGCTGGAATAACGGTCGGAGTGGCATAAATCCTACTCACTCACTCACTCACTCACTCGTATAGCACGAAGGTGACTTTCAGTAGGCAGATATTAACCTGATTATGTTTATGGTCGACATCCTCCTTCATGGAACAACTTTTGAAGTTGACTAAAGTTGACTTTATTTGACGGTCAAAACTTCAGTTCGGTCCAACCCAGCCTTAATTCAAAACCAGAGGTAGATAAGTTTGCATTTATCTATATTCTTCCTCCAAAAGTTTGGGATAGCCTAATAGTCAAACCGTCCGCACGTCAAGCTGAAGACCTGGGTTCGATTCCCGACATGTGTACAATGTGTGAAGCCTATTTATGGTGTCCCCCGCCGTAATATTTGTGGAAAATATTGCTAAAAGCGGCGTAAAAATATATGCACACACACTCCAAAAGTGGACTTAAAATGTGACTGAATATATTCTAAGTTAGTAACTCTGACAAGATTATTAAGAGACACGTTATAAAAAACACTGATTATTTAACTTCGTTAGGAAACAAACTCCTCTCTCAATACTGAGTGAAGTAGCGCTGGAATACCGTTTCCATTGTGATTGACCAGTTCTATTAGCCATCGCTAAAAGCGGTTTGTTTGTTGAAATGGCTGATCCCCGCTGAACAAGGGGAGATGTTTTGCCACGGGTATGGTAGATAGGTTACCATTGTCCCAGAATTGATTTCAAAAACGATAATCAACAAAGTCGGATATCATAATTGATAAATTCCATAAATGTCGAGGGATGTACAATGGTGCGATGCCTGCAAATTTCAGAAGCGTGTATCGAGTTTTCGTACCATGTGCGTTTCATCCGGGTCGTGCCGAGCGCAATTGTCTCCAGTATTGACGTTCGATCTAAATTATTCCACGTCGTGACGCCGCAATTCTCTTCCAGTATTGGATTTAACTGTACGTTCCAGTGTGCATACACTACACAGATTCAATCACTCGATATATCAATAACGCAGTGATTATCAGGTTAAAGTATTTATCGATAAACTTTCGTAAAGAAGGGTGATTTCCAATTCCAGTGTGGCACAAAATTACTCACGCAAAAAATAGTGTTAGAAAACAGATACCGGTATTGACCATTTTGTGCGACATGCTGCCTTTAAAACGATTTCCAATTTATAGCAGGAGCGTTTATGAAAACCTTTGACAAGTAATAAAAAGTAACTCGTATGTATTCAGACATGCAACATAAAGGTGTTTGTAACCAGATTATCGTTACCATTTCATTCAATAATCATATGCAAAGATAATGTCTCAAAACGTCGATGTGACTTCATAGCTTCATAGCGACTTTATAAGGACCTGTGTACCCATACTTCGACTTCAGTCGACCAATCCCGACCAAGTTGAGTAGACCTATACTCGACCTATCCCGACCGAGCTGAGTAGACCTATACTCGATCTATCCCGACCGAGCTGAGTAGACCTATACTCGACCTATCCCGACCGAGTTGAGTAGACCTATACTCGACCTATCCCGACCGAGTTGAGTAGACCTATACTCGACCTATCCCGACCGAGTTGAGTAGACCTATACTCGACCTATCCCGACCGAGTTGAGTAGACCTAAACTCGACCTATCCCGACCGAGCTGAGTAGACCTATACTCGACCTATCCCGACCGAGCTGAGTAGACCTATAATCGACCTATCCCGACTGAGTTGAGTAGACCTATACTCGACCTTTGCCCGACCGAGTTGAGTAGACCTATACTCGACCTATCCCGACCGAGTTGAGTAGACCTATACTCGACCTATCCCAACCGAGCTGAGTAGACCTATACTCGATCTATCCCGACCGAGTTGAGTAGACCTATACTCGACCTATCCCGACCGAGTTGAGTAGACCTATACTCGACCTTTGCCCGACCGAGTTGAGTAGACCTATACTCGACCTATCCCGACCGAGTTGAGTAGACCAATACTCGACCTATCCCGACCGAGTTGAGTAGACCTATACTCGACCTATCCCGACCGAGCTGAGTAGACCTATACTCGACC